AATAAGGGAGAGAGACTTATTGATTAGAAAAGTAAAACAGCTTTAGTACTACCACTAATAATAATAGTAATAATATTAATAAAATGTCATATGTACAAATAAATATATATAAAACCAGCATTGAACCCAGCTCCCCCCGATGGCAATATGTCACTGTCACCCCCGGCTGGGGAGCAGCCCCCGGGGAGAGGGTCCCAGGCTGGACTCAGCCACAGACTGCAACTAGGTTTACTGTCTGCCCTGCTCTGTGTAGTACACAAGCTTAGCAGTGACCTCAGTCTGCACACCAATCCCTGACAGTGACTCTAAACAGGGAGTGTTGTCACTGCTAAAAGCAGGCAGCCTGTGAAAACATGCTGCTAACTTCAGACAAGGCAGTTAATTAGAGGAGCTTTAGCTGTAAAGTTAAATTGTTGAACAGAACCAGCTCTGTTCTACCCCAAACCAGGACACTCATAGGAGTGTGTTGGCTGCCCTGGAGCTAGAGTGGGGAACAAAGCCTGCCAGTGCTGAGAAACAAACCCCAGCATCTCTCAGAAATTTTTTTTTAATGGGCTTACACAGGAAGTTTGATAAAGGGGTAGAAGTATAGGGCAGGTTCTCTGAGAGTTGAGGTCTTTATAGAACCAGAGACCACTGTTTTGTTTGAGGATGGCTTTAATGACATCAACAGAATTAACTACTGCATCCCAAAGACCTTGCCAGTAATCTCTCCTTACTTTCAACACGATACATGCTGCTGAAGCAATGTCTTGAGTCTTGTGTCTTGAAAGAGAATGATGTTACATGTAACTGGTAGGATTTATTTATTTTAAAAAGCTTGAGAAGGAATACTGAGTTTCAGTAGCTCCACAGTCTGACAGACAGACTGACCTTGGCAGTTTCTTTCATTTCTTATTGCTTCCTGATCTAAAATTCAATCTTGGTAGCAGCAGCTAGATAAAACACAAGACTCGTGGAAAATAAAGCAGAAAAGACTAATTCTGAACTTCATTTGCTTTGGTGTGATTAGGCTAGAGAGTGCTCTTAGCATTAAATATTCCTTTAAATTTTCATCTATTCCTTAATTTCAGATATAGTTTAAAGAAGAGAGGAAAACAATGCTGACACAAAACCCTATCTGATTGGAGTGATTACAAGAGCTGTTGTAATACAGTTCAAGAGAACAGTCAACAGGATTTAACAATGGTTGTTTACATAGGAGGAAATTCTAAGAAAGAGGGAAAGATTAACTTAATTTTCTTTTTTGTTTAATTGTACTAACCTGTTTGAACAAGGTGCCTTTGATGTAAACCACATGAGTAGAAGGGACAGTTATGATGTGTCTCAATTACTCTGTCATTTGAGAGCAGTTATTATATTTACTGTCTTTACAGAAAGACTTGTATGTTCACAGAAAAGGATAGGGTATCAGTGATTCATTTTGTGGGATAAGGAAGAAAAATTTCAGAACAAGGAGAATAAAAATATGATTCAATAATTGGTGGCTGAAAAATTTAGACTCTTTTTAATATTGATTTTGAAAGGGAAATAAATGCTAATTGAAAACAAGCTATTTTATATCTGCATAAGAGTATACACTCTTCTTGGAGAACCATAAATTCATACCCTTACTTCATTTTGATTGCTTTTTGTGAGTGTCCTTCAATGACAAACGTAAAATATTCAGAAAGTGACACAGCTGCAGATTATGATATAGTTGTACTTCTGTTGAGTGTTAAAAAAAAAAAAAAAAAAAAAAAAAAAACCACAAACACAAACACCAGCACAAACCAGCACTCTTTGCAGTTTTACCATACTCAGAGAATGAATTTTAAACAAAAAATAGGGATCTGCATCTGAAAAGGCAGGAGGGAGCACTCTAAGTAGGAATGAATCTGTAAGAAAAGTGTCAAAATGATGCAAGAATTCCCTATTTTCAGATGAGGAGAATTTATTCTGTTTGCTTCCTGATGCCAGAAGTAACTTGTGTTTATATATATATATATAGATAGAAGTGTCTCAGATAAAGAGGTCCTTAGTGTGACAGCCCACCATGGTGGCTTTGGAGTCCAATTTGTTCTCCCCATCCCATTTACTAATGGCCTGTCTGCCTTTTCTGGGTTGTGTTTAGTCAGGTAATGGAAGCATGTGAAAGATTACAAAGTTGGGGTACTAACTCCTCTGCCCTATAAGTTCAGAGAGAGGCAGTCTGAGTTTGGGGCATTTTGGAAAAGAGTGACTATTCTGCTTGGCTGGAAGGAGGTTTATAATTCATTGAGCCCAAGTTTATCAAGGCGTGTGTGCCCTGGGCTAAGGCAGGTATTTGGTTCAGCTGAACCTACTCACATGATTTAGCCTGTCTCTTTTCTCCTCTTCAATTGTCTCTGTAAACCAGATTTGCCAAATGGCTTTACCTCTGTTGATGTGATTTTATTTAGTCCTTTTTGCCCACTGTTTGACGTCTTTCTTAACGACAATGGATAGAAGTTTTTGTGTTTCTGTATTCTGAGTCTTCTCTGTTGCAGTAGAATTCAGTCAGTGAAAACCTGAATCTGTAAAATCTCAACTTTGCTGCTAAAAAAAAAATAAGAGTGTAGTCTTTCATACTTTATGGAAGAGAATGGGACTAATGAGCAGTATGGAGGGGGGTACAGCACAGCAGGTGCAGTATTTACTCACACATTTTTTGTAAGAAAAGTGTGAAGTTTGGACAAAAGGTTTTGTAAGCTTACCATTGAATACATATTTCATAGGTTGGTTTGCAAAGGTATAAGATTTAATAAGCAGAGTTTTCTGCTGTTCATTTATAACTGTTTAAATCACATAGATTAGATATGCTTGACCTCTATACCAGAAAATTAAAAATGTAAAGCCTATTTTACATAGCATTTCAATAAAAACATTCTAAAGAGCAACAGAAGAATAAAGGAGAGACTGTGTATGATAGTAAAACATCTTTGATAAAGACATGATGAACTGAAAGGAATGTGCAGAAACCA